TGTTATGATCCACACAGTCGAATGCCTTTATATAGTCAATAAAACACAGGTAAACATCTTTCTGGTATTCTCTGCTTTCAGCCAAGATCCATCCAACATCAGCAATGATATCGCTGGTTCCACGACCTCTTCTGAATCCGGCATGAATTTCTGGCAGTTCCCTGTTGATACACTACTGAAGCTGCTTTTGAATGATCTTCAGCAAAATTTTACTTGTGTGGGATATTAATGATATTGTTTGATAATCTCCACATTTGGTTGGATCACCTTTCTTGGGAATAGGCACAAATATGGATCTCTTCCAGTTTGGTTGGCCAGGTAGCTGTCTTCCAAATTTCTTGGCATAGACAAGTACTTCCAGTGCTGCATCCATTTGTTGAAACATCTTAATTGGTATTCTGTCAATTTCCAGAGCCTTGTTTTTCTCCAATGCCTTTAGTGCTGCTTGGACTGCTTCCTTCAGTACCATCAGTTCCTGATCATATGCTACCTCTTGAAATGGTTGAACATCGACCAATTCTTTTTGGTATAATGACTCTGTGTATTCCTTCCATCTTCTTTTGATGCTTCTGTGTTGTTTAATATTTTCCCCACAGAATCCTTCACTATTGCAACTCGAGGCTTGAATTTTTTCCTCAGTTCAGCTTGAGAAATGCTGAGTGTGTTCTTCCCTTTTGGTTTTCTATATCCAGCTCTTTGCCCATGTCATTATAATACTTTACTTTGTCTTCTGGAGCTGTCTTTTGAAATCTTCTGTTCAGTTCTTTTGCTTCATCATTTCTTCCTTTTGCTTTAGCTACTCAACGTTCAAGAGCAAGTTTCATAGTCTCTTCTGACATCCATTTTGGTCTTTTCTTTCTTTCCTGTCTTTTTAATGACCTCCTGTTTCTTCATATATGATGTCCTTGATGTCATCCCTCAACTCGTCTGGTCTTTGGTCATTAGTGTTCAACACGTCAAATCTATTCTAGATGGTTTCTAAATTCAGGTGGGATATACTCAAGGTTGTACTTTGGCTCTCGTGGACTTGCTCTAATTTTCTTCAGTTTCAGCTTGAATTTGCATATGAGCAATTGATGGTCTGTTCCGCAGTCGGCACCTGGCCTTGTTCTGACGGATGATATTGAGCTTTCCCATCGTCTCTTTCCACAGATGTAGTTGATTTGATTCCTGTGTATTCCATCTGGCAAGGTCCGTGTGTATAGTCACTGTTTATGTTGGTGAAAACAGATATTTGTAACGAAGAAGTTGTTGGTCTTGCAAAATTCTATCATGCGATCTCTGGCATCATTTATATCACCAAGGCCATATTTTCCAACTACCAATCCTTCTTCTTTGTTTCCAACTTCTGCATTCCAATCACCAGTAATTATCAATGCATCCTGATTGCGTGTTTAATCAATTTCAGACTGCAGAAGCTGGTAAAAATCTTTAATTTCTTCATCTTTGGCCTTAGTTGTTGGTGAGTAAATTTGAATAATAGTCATATTAACTGGTCTCGCTTGTAGGTGTATGGATATTATCCTACCACTGACAGTATTATACTTCAAGATAGATCTTGTTCTTTTTGACGATGAACGCAACGTCAATCCTCTTCAAGTTGTCATTCCCAGCATAGTAGACCATATGATTGTCTGATTGAAAATGGCCAATACCAGTCCATTTCAGCTCACTAATGCCTAGGATATCAATGTTTATGCGTTCCATTTCATTTTGGATGATTTCCAATTTTCTAGATTCATACTTGATATATTCCACATTCCAATTATTAATGGATGTTTGCAGCTGTTTCTTCTCATTTTGAGGTGTGCCACATCAGCAAATGAAGGCCCTGAAAGCTTGACTCCACCCACATCATTAAGGTTGACTCTGCTTTGAGGAGGCAGCTCTTCCACAGTCATCTTTTGAGTGCCTTCCAACCTGGGGGCTCATCTTCCAGCACTATATCAGAAAATGTTCTGCTGCTATTCATGAAGTTTTCACTGGCTAATTATTTTCAGAAGTAGACTGCCAGGTCCTTCTTCCTAGTCTGTCTTAGTCTGGAAGCCCAGCTGAAACCTGTCTGCTGTGGGTGACCCTGCTAGTATCTGAATACCAGTGGCATAGATTCCACCATCGCAGTAACACACAAGCCCCCCCAGTATGACAAAGTGACAGACACTAGGCAGCCGTAAAAAGTAGAGACATGAAATAATTCATTGTCAACATTTTCCTAGGAAATAGCTTTTCGGAACCAGAAGGAAATTCAAGACATCACAGGGTTCTCACCTTTTCTCGAAAAAAATGAGAAAGAAAAAAATAACTATCACCTAGTTTTAATAAATCTACTTTGTCATGTCTAATCCCTTTTCAGATTATACTCTTAGTAACTACTTAACAACTCAGAGTCTGTTTGGGATGTGGATTTTTTTACTTAAGGGAGTATCTAAAGAGAATTATAGTAATATGCAAAAAATGGAATGTAACTAACAATTTTAGTAACAAATCAAATATTTTTCAGAGGTTTATGATGCTATAAAAATCCTATCATAATATTATCTATTTAATGTTGAGAGAGAATCTAGTCGATTCTCACTCACGGCAACCCTGTGTACGCAGCGTATAATTGCTCCATAGAGTTTTCAAGGCTGTGACTTTTGGAAGATCACCAGATCTGTCTTCTGAGGTGCTCTCAGGTGGGTTCGAACTGCCAACCTTTAGGTATAGTCAAATGCTTAACTTTTTGCACCACCCAGGGACCTTATTACTATACAATTTATCAGAGATCATTTATTATATTAAAATACAAAGAATCCCTAAAGTACATTAATCAACTTGTATATTTGAAGGCTGTCATTAGAGATAGCACAAATACACTTGGATTCTCCAAATTTTATACCAGAATAGGGGTAAACTGATGAAAATTACCTTCTGAAAGTTGACACAGCTTTTGGATATTATTTCATGTCTCTAACCTTTTGATGTTAAACTTTTCTTTAAGAATTAAAAATCAGGGAACAAAATGCATATTGATGAGATACAAACTCTTGGTAAAAATGTTAAGAAAATGTAAGCATAAAAATATTATTCCTCGGAAAGATTCATTGTTTTACTTTTCTTATGATTTCTGTAATTAGGAAAGCATAGGCTGATACTCGATATTCATATTATCGTATAAGACTGAGCTTGAGGTATTGTTTGGTGGTAGAATGTAACAATTTGTGCTTTTTGCACTTCTGTTTGAAGATTAATCCTTTTAAACATAAGAGTAAATGTTTTTATTAGGAATGTTAATTCTGCCACTATAGGATAAGTTCCCCCACTAGACTATAAGTCTCAAGAAGGTATGGACTTCATCTTTTTTTTTTTTTTTCTTTGCAGCATCCTGAAAAAGTAAACAAAAGCAAACAGAAATCAATGACAGAGATGTCAATGGAGGCAGAGAGCAGTGTCACAGAGATGGGGGGCAGCAGAAGGAAAGACTTGGGTGAAACTGTGGCAACAGTTAGAAGGAGAAGGCACAAGAAAAGAGGGGACACAAAGTGAGACGCCAGGAGGAGAGGGAGAGGCCACGTGAGGGTGAGAGAGCAGCCTGGAAGAAAGGAGAGGAGACAAGGGAGCCAGACAGAGGGTAAGGGAGAAGGAGAGAAGAAAGAGGGTGACAGGGTCGGGAGAAGAGAGGGTTTAAAGATGGTGAGTTTCAAGATTAGGGGAGAGGGAGGCCAATGTGAGAGAGTGAGCAAAGAGAGAGGAATAAGAAAGAAAGGAATGAGGTACCCTGTTTGAAAACACCTTCCCATAGCAGGAACTAGAGAATTATTCGTTTCATTCATTCAAATTAATTTCAAACTCATTTTCCTTAATAAAAACCTAAATAATTCTGAAATCATCAAAATTAATTTTACGGCAAAGAGTAGCATGATGTAGTGGTTATGGGTATGGGTTTGAATATCACTGTCACCTAGAAGCTCTGAGACCTGGAGTAAGTTGCTTAAACTCTCCGACCTTCTGGAAAAGAGAATGATAATAGCTCAGCCTTCTATAGCACATGGGGTCGCAATGAGTCAGAACCCATTCAATGGCCACAACAACAGCAACAATATATCACTTACTTCCCATCAGACACCATTCTAAGTACTTTATATATCTTAATTCAATCCTCATTACAACCTTATGAGGCAAGAACATTGAGACACCGAGAAGTAAAGTAACTTGTTCCACGTCACAGATCTTGTCAGTGAAATAGCTGGGTTTTAACCCAAACAGCCTGGTATCAGAGTTGTGCTTTTAATCACAACATACACAGCATCTCAAAAAAAACTAAGACTGTGTGTATAAACAGTCTGAGAATATAATCACCCTCAAGAAGTGATAGCGCCTATTCGTGATTGAAACATCAATGATAATTAGAAAAACAAGCCTGTTTCATATGAAGTACTTCTAATGGAGAATGTGGTTATCATAGATAAAAATCAGGAGAAAATAAATCAAAAGTCCACTAGATGAACACATTTCACTAAATAATGATTTCTTGAGTGAGACATTTTCTTTAGATTTTTTTTCCTCTCTCTTTTTCCACATAACTAATCTGTTGCTAAAGTTGCATATTTTTCTTAAGACTTACTCTTGGAATTGTCCTTTTCTCTCCTGAGGGACCTAGAGGAGTTATCACAGCTGGACTAATAAAACAAGAATTTAAAGTGAGGAAGATGAATGCGAGTGTAAGCAGATAAGAGCCAACTGTTATAATGAAGTTCTATTGAATTTAAATGTTTTCCTTGTTCCCCAAATCCAAAATCACTTAGAAGGTATTAATAAGTTAGCAGTTTGTGGTGTCTGTGCCCGAGATGTTACTCAGGTCCAAGAATAAGGGCAGGAAAGAAGTACTTCTTCTCATTGCCTTGTGCATCTACTACATCCTGCAATCCCGGAGAGGGACTCTGGGGCTTTTGGGAGAACATCCTGTGGGAAGGTGAGGAACAAATGGGAATAGAATTTTAAAACTTTGCAAATTTACTTACCTTTTCATTGTAAATGTCTCCAAGCATTGTACTTGCTCTCACAATATCTAGGTTTTGAAAATTGTTTCTTGCAATTTTCAGAACTTTTTTCAAATATTTAATTGCTTCCTTCATTTCTCCTTGGCTACAATAAATAAAATAGAAAACCACTGGAGTATCATTCCACTTAATATCACAGTGAAAAGAAGATATTTTGTGTTTTTGCTTTAGAAAATGCAAGATGATTATTAGGATAATGAGATTTAAAGAACAAATATTAATTTAATAGATATATGACTTGTCTTTGTGGGAGTATACAGTGAGTCAAAACTTAAACAAACCTTTAAGCCCTCATGCATTGCTGGTGGGAATGCAAAACCATGCAGTTGCTTTGGAAAATAATTTAGCAGCACCTCAAAAACTTTTATGTAGTTACCATATGACCCAATAATTCCACTTGTTGGTATATACCCTAGGAAACTGAAAACATATATCCTCACGAAAACTTGTACACGAATGTTCATAGCAACATTAATTATATTATCCATCAAATGGAAACAATCCAAATGTCTATTAACTGAGGAATGGATAAATAAAATGTAGTCTATCCATTAAGTGAAATGAATATGCTAAGTGAGAGAAGTCAGTCACGAAAGATCATGTATTATTTGATTCCATTTACATGAAATGTCCAGAATAGGCAAATCCATAGAGACAAATAGTAGATTAATGATTGCCAGGGGCTGGGGAGAGAGGGAGAATAGAGAGTGACTGCTAATAGGTATAGGTTTCTTTTTGGAGTGATGAAAATGTTCTAAAGTTAAATAATGGTGATGGTTGCACAAGTCTGTGAATGTATTAAAATCAAATCAAAACCAAACCCATTGCTGTCAAGTCGATTCCCACTCACAGAGACCCTGTAGGACAAAGTAGAACTGCTCCATAGGGTTTCCAAGGATTGGCTGGTGGATTTGAACCGCTGAGCTTTTGGTTAGCAGCTGAACTCTTAACCATTGTGCCACCAGGGCCCCTTAATATACTAAAACATACTGAATTGTATACTCTAAATGGATGAATTTTATGGTCTGTGAATAATATCTCAATAAAGCTGTTATTATTTTTTTTAAACTTAAAAATGTTTATCAAATGTTAATGCTAGTTTGTTTCTCACCAGTGAAATCTCAGGTGTCACTAAAGTAACATGCACAAGTGTTATATATTCTGGCAAAATGCTTAGAAAGGCACAATTTCTAGCAGAGTGTTTGGAAAATACTAGGCATTCATATATTTCTGAATGAAAAGGATGGTTGAAAATTTGAGAAGGGAAACACTTAGGCAGTACACGTGACAGATAAAGCATCCAGTCATTTGGATGGTTGGAGTCCATGGCTGTAAATCCCTGCCTCCTGGATATTTCAATAACATCAAGAAACCTTTGACAGCCTATCAAATGTCCTAGAATGTGCTAGTTGCTGGGGAGTATGGTCCCTGCCCTTAGAGTTTCACTGCCAATTTGGAGAGGTAAATACATAAGTAAACTCACTGCCATTGAGTTGAGTCTGACTCATAGCAACCCTGTAGGACAGAGCAGAACTTCCCCACAGGGTTTCCAAAGCTGTAAATCTTTACAGAAGCAGACTGCCACATCTTTCTACTGAGGACCAGCTGGTGGGTTCGAACTGCTGAACTTTCAGTTAGCAGGAGAGTACTTAATCACTGAGCCACCAGGTTTCCTTAATACATAAGTACATACGTGGGATTAACAGCGATAGATAACATGAATTCTATGTAGTGCTTGAAGCCTAGAGTACATTTATTGGAATAAATTCACAAGAGCAAGTCTAATGTTTGAGGAGTGAATTTGGTCTTAAAATATCTAGAATAGGCAAATGTATGGAGACCAAACTTTATTGGTGGTTACCAGGGGTGGGAAGGAAGGGGAAGGAAAAAGTCACTGATCAGTAGGTACTCAGCTTCTGTTAAAGGTGATGGAAAAATGGACAGTGGAAATGGATAGTGGTGATGGCTGCACATGATGGAAGTAATTAATGTAACCACTAAACTATATATGTAAAAAATGTTGACATGGCAAATTTCTTTATGTATATATACTAACCACACACGCACACACACACAAAACAACCAAATAAAAAACAAAGGCAGCCAAAAGGAATTTGGAGTCATATCCTCGTGAATACAATGGTGATTTCAAAGCATCTACATACATTTGAAAAATTGTGATCCGTATTGTGGGAGACATCTTTGGAATATGAACTGCAGAAAATGCTTAGTGTGTTTATTTACAGATTCACAGACCCCTTGCTTTACTTCCTTGTTTCTCCCTCCCCCACCATTGCCCAGGTTCCAACACACAGGTTGGGAGTCTCTGCTGTTAACCAACCCCTCTTTCTCAAAATGTGTTCTTCCTCTCTAAGAGCATCTGGCACTCTCATCCAGTCTTGGTTCCTCTGTTACTCTCCTTATCTCACTACTTTTCCCGTATTTCTCACTGTCATGGATTGAATTTTGTCTCCCCAAAATATATATATCAATTTGGCTAGGCCATGATTCCCAGTATTGTCTGATTGTCCACCATTTTGTCATCTGATGTGGTTTTCCTATATGTTGTAAATCCTACCTCTGTGATGTTAATGAGGTGGGAGAGGTGGCTGTTATGTTAATGAGGCAGGATCCAATCTAATGTCTTGAGCCAATTTTGAGATATAAAAGAGAAACGCGAGCAGAGAGACAGGGGGACCTCATACCACCAAGAAAGCAGAGCTGGGAGCAGAGCACAACCTTTGGACCCGGGGTTCTTTTGGGGAGAAGCTCCTAGTCCAGGGGAAGATTGATGATAAGGACCTTCCTCCAGAGCCAACAGAGAGAGAAAGCCTTCCCCTGGAGCTGACAACCGGAATTTGGACTTCTAGCCTACTAGACTGTGAGTAAATAAATTTCTCTTTGCTAAAGTCATCCACTTGTGGTATTTCTGTTACAGCAGCACTAGATAACTAAGACACTCACTAACTTTGAGGCTTCTGCCCACCCAAGTTGCCTCTTTCCAGAGTTCTGTCCTGGGTCTCCTTCTCCCCTCCATCTAATGGCTATTGGCAATTTCATATACTACAATGTGACCTAATTCCTACATGCAAATGTCTAGCAAATCTTTATTCTAGCCCTGATTTTTTTCCCCCGGTACTCCAGATCCACATTTTCAATCGCCAGGCATTCTTAGCATGCAAAGGAGTGCAGTTCCTTCCAAGTGGCTACCTTTGAAGATGGCTGATAGCATTTTTGGAATGCCTCCTTAGGAAACCTCTTCATACTAGATGGCTATAAAGCGTTCATAAGTAATTTAATGAATCTTGTCCAAAAAACAGAGTTACCTGTAGAAATTATTTACCCTTTTCTAAATGTGACTCTAATTTTTTTTTGGCTGTTTCCAAAGATTAAACTCATCTTTCAAACAATGATGTGCTGGGGCTATTCAAAAGAATATGCCCCAGCTCAGAAAGCATTTTCAAAGGAATTCATTTTAAACATGTAGTGGCAGATTAGAGGTATCAACTTGCATGACCTCTCAAGGTTTGATTGGGACAACATTCATTTTCATATATAAACTTTGCTATGTTTGTGAAAATGAGATTATTTAAAAGTCATATTGTGCTATGGTGGGTATTAGAAAGACCTAGGCTTTGATCGAACCTCAGCCTCTTAGCTGAATAACTTTGATCATCTATACTCTTTCTCAAGTTTCAGCTTCCTTATTTTTAAAATGGCCATAAATTGTCCTGAGTTGAAAAATTATATATGTATGTGTTGTGTACATATATAAGCGTATATATAGCTATATCTATACACATACATATACCACATTTTCCGCAAATAATGTGCATATACACATAATATGAGGAAATGATGAAATTAAGTAAAAACAGTTCCGGCATAGTGCACCCATGCATATACTGAGCATGTCTTGTGATATTTCCAGAAGTGAATTTCAGTCTTATTTACCAGCCTTTCCATATTACAGGTAAATTTTATCATTCTGTTCATTTTCTTTTGGTCTGTTCATTTTCTTTCATCTCTTGCTTAACCAGTTGCTGTCAAATTGATCCTAACTCATAGTGACCCTACAGGACAACGTAGAACTGCCCCATACCATTTCCAAAGAGCAGCTGGTGGATTAGAACTGCTGACCTTTTGGTTAGCAGCCAAGCTCTTAATCTCTGCATTTGAAAATGTTGCTTTTGATCGTAATTGTATAATAGAGGCATTAGCCATGGTCAAGAAATCATGGATTGATTTTGGTAGTCCTCTGGTCATCAGAAAATAAATGTTCAAATGCATATTTGTTTCTATTAATTTAAGTTGATAATTATATCCGATAAATGACAGCTATTATTTGCACTATTTCTCAGTGAAATAAAAGGCTATCATGTCCATAGTTCTTACTGATATTATCTACCACCAGCAGAGGAGAAAATTGTTTCGTTAAGCATTACGTTTAGAAAATCTTTCATTAGGCAATGAATTAGATACTACATATGAAAGTACACTGTGAGAAACGGACAGCTACATAAAGTCCTGATGTCTATTTTCTAGGAAGCGGAGTCAACAAACTAACATTTTTTGTTGTTTACTTTGCAGGTATCAGGTACCATCAAACGCATCTTTCTTCTCTTTCTTATTGGTAAAAGAATGCTCTATATTTTAGAAATAGAATTTCATGTTCCTGAAGTTGTGACTACGGCTTTTTATGAATCTGTCTTCACTTTTTCACAAAAAAATTCTGAATAGTAATCTTCTGCATTTAAGCATTGCTCAATTTTCTCCAGAAAAACTATGAACTGTTTCAGGAATTTTCCAAATGCAGGCATGGGCAGACTTCCTTGGGGTAAAATATGACAACAAAGGTGCACTGGTCTTTTTCATTTAAATATTTGTTTTGTGAACAGCTAGAGTGGCATTAAGAGAACTCGAGAATATAAAAATATTAATAAAGGAAATAATATAAGACTTGGAATTTTGAGCAAACTTGTGGATTTCTAAGGTTAAAAATGTTTTTATCAACTTGACGTTGACTTTATAAGCTATTTTCTGGACTGTAATAGTCAAGAAAAACTTGGTGAAAAAAATGGAGGC